GTATATTCCAAGGACAGGGGAGGGGGGAGGGGTCTCCGATTGTCTGGATTCAGCTCATGGGTCATTGATCAGTCACGTACTCTCAGTGACCTCCCCCAACAAAGGGACAGAGGGAAGGCCAGTGTGGCTGCAGTGTAGGGAAGGAAGGGAAGAGGAATGTGAAGTGAGGTCAGAGAGGCCAAGGAGGGAGATGATGTTGAGCTTTCTTTCAAGTAAGAAATTAAGATTTTACTCTTGTTTCAATAGGTAAGTAAATTCTGCGATTCAAAGCAAGGCGTGGGGTGCAGTAATAAGATCTGATTTAATTTTTTTAAATCTGATTTAAATTTTATAACATCGTTCTGGTCCCCGTGAAGAGAAAATTGTGTTGACAAATTGTAGCAATCCTCCTCAAGGGTAAATTCCCATACTAGATGGGGCTGTTAAAGTCCATGCCAACACTGGGTTGTTGTAAATATTAGATCAACGTAGAGAAGACTCCTAAAGAGACCTTTATATATGTTGTCTTATGTGGCCTTTATTTCCACAGAAGTGTCTTATGCTCAAGGGCTTTGCTCAAGGGTGGTTGGATTCTAGGTTCCAGCTTTTATCTCCATATTTGTATATAAGGCTTCCCCCCATCACCCCCCTTTCCCTCCCATCTTCTCTTTAGATCGGCTAAACTTCATTTCTGTTTTTATGGGGAAATGATTTATCTAGTAGCATAATAGTTTTTCAGTTCTTGCTTATTTACAGCTAAATGCACTTTCACATGGGTGGGGAGGCGAAGGGTTTCACAGTCATTCAAAAGACCAAATCTCAGAGAATATGACTGAAACACCGAAAGGGGTGGGAGAAAGTCTGAAGGTTTAATTGTCAGTCTTCTACTTTGACAACTTCTCAACATCCTTCACTGCCAAGGTTACCATTGCTCAATTATCCTGTTTGCCTTTTGCTCCTTGCAAGCTGCGGCTGCTTGAGGAGCAATTTTAGGGTTTTGTCCTCTGTGTGTATTTATCCTTCAGTTTCCTGTTTCTTCTTCCCTGAGATTTTGCTGTTAAAAAACTCACTTACATTTTGTCATGTTTACAGATAAATGGGACAATTCTGATAGTGCGTTTGGTCCTTGACTGTGGTAGACACGTTTAAACTGGGGTCTGGTGGTTACACACTGCATGAGAAGGGAATGCCTCCTTCTTTGTGCGCTCATAGGAAGTCAAGAAGAAATGGACATTCACCTCTTCTCCTTTTTGATAATATGCCTTTGTTGAAAGCCCTCCTTTACTCCGTTACACTTCAGTTTGCTCAAACTTTGTCGTTATTTAAAAATCAGTTAGAATAAAACACATTCCAGGTTGATTCCTCCCTTTTTCTTCTTTTCTAGTGTGCTCCCCCCCCACCCTACCTCTTTCTCACATTCTTCTTTTTGTTTGTCCTTTCCTAATTTTATCCTAAAGAAATGAAACATACTTGCTTCCTCCTCGTGTTGACAACTGTACAATATATTTGGCTCTAAGGTACCACCAACATTCAGGAAAGAATCATTTTCCAGTTACTAAGCTTACTCTTGGGTCAGGCCCTAGGTATTCACAAATGTATGCAACACAGTCCCTCTTCAGGAATCTTAGAGGACAGTGAAGGATGGCGATAAGTAAATGGAAATTATAGTAGTGTGGCAAGTGGCTGGTGTGCATAAAGAAGGGTGCTCAGCCTGGTCCTGAACAAATGTTATGGAAGGACTTCTAACCTGCACCCTGAACAGTGAATAGAAGTTAGCATTAATGAGAGTGGACTGGGGGATGGAGTGGGTAGGTGATATGTTTCAGATGACATGGAGGTAAAATTTAGAGGGAGGACACCGAGGAAATGTAATGAAGTTAAAATACAGACCGTGAGTTATGTGTGGTGAGGGAGATGGGGAAGAAAGGCAGAAAATAAGATTAGAGACAGTCCAAAAAAAAAAAATGTGTAACTTTGATTCAGTTTTCTTAAAATATCTTTCTGAGGGTTAAGGGTCTTTTCTTTTGAACATAGAGGGAAATCTTGTGAAGGTTTTAATCCTATAAAGGGTGTCTCATGATCATAGTTACATATTTGGCTACACTGTATCCCATTCAGTCAATAGTACTAGGCACTTACTGAGTACTAGATACTACAAAGGTAGTAATGAAAAAAGGCAGATACAGACCTTGTCTTCAGTTCCAGAGGCTGACAGTATTGGCTGTAAGAAGTCCAGCTAGGAGGCTGTGGCCCATGAGAAATTTTGGTGGTCTGAACTACAGTACTGCAGTAGGGATGAAAATAAGTGTGTATGTTTAAGGGATATTCAGGAAATAGTGCTGACAGAAGATGGTAATTGACTGGAGGGGGTGGGAGAGGGATGGGAGGGAGCAGGCAGGGGCCTCTACACATTTCCACATGTTGAACTGTATTCCCTTTCCTTTTTTAGTTTGACAGCCTGGTGACTTTTGGGGTGTTTCCATTTCCAGATGTCTAGTTGTCAGTTTGACCAGCTGTCAGTTCTGTCATCCCATTTGGTGGGTGCACAGTGGTATGGAAAATACAGTGGGTCATTGACCTTGTAGCAGAGGCCATTTGCGATGGCAAAGCTATTATCAAGAATTATGCTAAGCAGCTCTTCTTGTCTGATGAGTTTTGCTAAGTTGTTCATTCTGCTATATGATATGCAGTAAAATAAGTTCGCAGGGATCGAGTGTAGAGGGGGGAGGCAAGATGGCTAAAAAAATGTTAGAAAAAGTAGAGTCTCAGAACAAAACTAGTAGTAAGAGTGCTGAGAGTTAACAAAGGCTACATAACGGGTGATGTAAAATGAGTATTTGATTTTCGGAGAGAGAATACAAAACCAGATTATTTCCCTCAGAGGCTTCCTGAGAACACTAGTATCCGTGATACTCTGTGGAGAAAGGTTTCTGGAAAATATGTACACTCAAATATGCCTCTTGTTAGAAGAGGATCTGGTTACATTTGTTGAAACTGGAGTTAGACAAACATATTTGCCCCTCCCCCCCCGGTTGTTTACTAATACTGTATTAACATGCTGTGGAATTGATGCCTCACAGAATGCTCCGAGGGAAATGCTGGACTAACCGAGTAATGACTGTAGTAATGGTTAATGTTCATTGAGTGCTTATCATCTTCTGTGCATAGTGTTAAACTCTTAAATTGACTATCTCAGTCTTCATACTGACAACACTATCAGGTGTAGATATTTATTATTATCCTCACTTTAGTGACAACAAAAATACTCTAAGTTATGAAGTAATTTGTCCAAAGTAATATAGTCGGTAGGCAGGAAACTGGATTTTAAACCAAATAGTCTAATCTAAAAGGTCAAACACATACCCTTTGTGCAATATCTCGGCATGTGGTAAGACCAAAGTTCATGGAGGACTTGGTTGCTGTTGGTGTGACTAAAACTCCCTTCAACCATCTCATGAATGGGACTGACCTTTCATGCCCCTCAAGGACCAAAGGAACATCCAGATGACTGGAATATTCTCTAATGTCATAGTCATGGAGCCCTTTTTCATGGCAACCAATAGATCAGGCATTTCACAAGCATTATCCCATATTATAGTAGAGGAAACTGAAGTAGAAGATCCAGAATTCAGTGGAGCCTGGACTCAAATCCAAACAGTCAGACTCAGGAGTTAGTCATGTTCTTAATCATGCAACAATGTCTCCTCAGCATCTGAATTGGTGCACACAGCTTTTCCAGGCCAAGAAATGTTTGCATATATCTGTATTAAAATATATAATTCACTTTTAATACATTTATCCATATGAAAGACTCCTCTTCGGAATTATACAAATTATAGCCATCATTGTTACCACTGAATCATATTTTTAGAGATGGAATTTTGGAAGTAACGGTGTGAGGAGAAAGGTAATTTAGAGGATTCAAGAGGAAGAGGAATCAGACTAGGTCAGAAAGGGACCTCGTAAACCTGCCCTAGAGCTAAGGCAAGAGTCTTCAGGTCAAACAAGAATAGAGTTTAGTATAGGATTGGAATCTGAGAAGGCACTAAGTGATGGACGTATATTTTATATACCTCAGAAATAAATACAGATGAATTATATTTTATATTAGTTTCACTTACCCCTTAACAAAGTAGTAGTTAATATAAGGAATTTAGAATTAGAGTAAAAATTCAAATCCAGAATTGCCTATCATTAAAGATGACCTTAGGCAAAATTCCAAATTTCATCTTTGAAATGGGGATGGACATATCCCACATTTGTTGTGAAGAACAGTATAAACATTGTCACATAAAGTGCTAGAGAAAGTAGGTGCTGAGCTTTTATTATAGGTAGCTATATTGCTTTCTTGAGTTTTGTGAGTTCAACTTGAAAATGTTCACTTGGTATTTTTCATTGTTTTTCCATTTTTTCTCCCACTTCTGATAAAGTACAGAACAGTGGATTCCGATAATATTAAAATATCTGTGTGTCTCCAGTAGTGGCATTGTAAGAAGCATTTGTACCAGGTGACTTTTTTTTTTTTTTAAAGCACATTAGGAATAATAGATTTGAAATGAGTTTATTCTGGACAGGAATTCATTTAACACATTTTATCTAAACTGTTTACTCTGACCATTTGACTTGGCACTGAAGAAGGAATCTTTTAGAAAAAAAGTAAGATAAGTCACTTATTTAAAGCTTATTCAAACAACTATGCCTTGGATTTTGTGAATAAGTTAAATCTATATTTATACAGAGAAAAATGGTAATGTTTCCCAGTTGATTTAGACTATTGTTGATTGAATGAAGACTGACTGAGGTAGGGCCTCTTTTATCTCTTGCATCATATCAAGGCACTTTGTTTGGAATACTTTTATTTTTTCTCTTTGGAATTTATATAGTAAACAGCATTTCAAATACAATAAATTCCATTTTCAGGTGTTGAGGTGTCATGAAAGCTCTAAATGTAGCACAATTATAATGGAAAAGCAGTGATTTCATATACTTAGGATTTTTACTATTTTTATTTTATTTGCAGGATGAGTAAGAGATACTTACAGAAAGCAACAAAAGGAAAGCTGCTAATAATAATATTTATTGTAACCTTGTGGGGGAAAGTTGTATCCAGTGCAAACCATCATAAAGGTAAGCTCTTCTGTTTTTTTTTTTTTTTTTTTTTTTTTCCCCTCAGCTCTCTGTGGAAAGTGACTTCCTTTAACACAGACTATCATGTTCTATCTTCACTGGTCCGTTAGTTTTACTAGGTATGAGTTCCCCCCTGGTAATTCTCTTTGAGTAAAAATGCAGAGAGAGTTATCCTTAATATGGCTTTGATGGGGGAAGCATGATTGTTTCCAGGATTACTGCCATTTCTGCAAATAGTGTTCAAAGAGTATAGAATCGTGACTCTGCCTTTCCCTGTCACTTCCATTTTTAAGGTATTGATGCTAAAATGTTTGGTTGCCATGTAATAAACATGAGTTTCAAATTGCAGTCATCCTGGGAATGAAAGCGTCTTTAATGATCTGTGTCTTAATAATATGTATCTATGTAAATTTCCTCTCCATGCTTTTTGTGGATCGGATTTCTTCATGCCAGAGTACTTTGTTGACCACCTTTTGGACTCTATCCCTAATGTGATATTCAGCAGGCTCAGTTCAGAACAGAGTGAGAATATTCGTTTTATACATATGTGTTAAGCCTGACAGTTCAGCCCTTTCTGTTCTCTTTCCTGAGCTGAAGACTCAGTATAATGAATAACTACCTTTTCCAAATGAATTAAAATGGGGCTATTTCTGAACTGTTCCTACCATAATCAAGTATTCATAACCTGAATAGTCAATTTAGATTTTTCTGTGAAATACGATTTTACAATTAAATTTTCAGTCCTCTGTAAAGTCTAGAGATGAGCAACTTTTAAATTTTATTTTTAGGGGAAGAGGGAGTTAAGAGCGCCTTGAATTTTGTAACACTTAAATTAGTTACACATGTGCATTTAATTAGCATTACATGGAACATTAACACCAGGGAGAGGGAAGACATGGTGTGAGGGAGTGATGCCTCTGAGGCAAAATCTTTTCCCCTGTGTTTAAAACCAAAAAGAGACATCTTTCAAAATAAGAGAATTTTATGAAGAGGCCCTTCATATTTCATAATCCTATTTTCACCCCAGAGTGTGTGTGTGTGCCTGTGTATACATATAATATTAATTATATCATAGGTCTATTTTAGAATGTTCTTCTTTTCTTTAATATAGCAAACTGATCCACAAATCCTCTTTGATAAAAATGGTTATTAGTTCAAAAATAAAAAGTTGTCGAGGAGGACGTTATTCCCCATGCCTCCAAATTGGCAACAATGGACCAAATCTAAGGACAAAGTAGTGTTAAATACTCACCTTTTAGTAAGACTTGCAAACTACTTGGGCTTAACAAGAGAAGACACACCATGTCTCCTGTGATGGGGGGCCACCCCCATGCCCTTTCTCAGCGTATAAAAGAATTGAGAGAAAGGGGGAGTTTTATAGGAATGGTGGGTGTCACTCTGGTGAGGCAAGGGTTCATGGTAAAGATGCTTTCTCAGCTCCAAAGCCAAGTGATATGATCCATGCAAAATGCCCCTTTTGTTTTAAACTATTTTACCTTTAAAATAATAAGTATAATGTATATGTAAGTCATGTCCATAAAATGAATATGTGGTTCATACTCTCACCACCCAATTTAGAAATGTAACATTTCTAATACTCTGGAAACTGGCCATGTCTGCCACTCTGATTTCATTCCTTTGCCTCTTTCCCCAGACAATCACTACTCTTAAATTTTGTGATTATAATTCTTTGGCATTTATTTCTAATATCACCATGTATTTATATATATGTAAATATACATATTTATATATTTATATGTAAATATGCATATATTTTTATATATATAAGGCATATTCCTTAATTATGAGTGTTACTGAATTTTCATAATAGTATTATGCTGTATTTTTCTGTAATTTGCTACTTTGCCCGACAGGTACTTGGGACGTTCATTAGGGTTGATGGCATATAGCTAGAGTTTATTCTTTTTTACTGTTACTCCACATTTTATTGTATGAAGTCACCACAATTAATATATTCATATTCTTGTACATGAACACTTAGTATTTTATATTCCTGCCATTATGAATGATGCTTCCATAAATATTCTTGCACTTCCCCCCAGTGCACATGTGCAAGAGTTTCTTGAGAACACATTCCAAGGAGCAAAATTGCTGGGTCTTGGGGCATGCATATCTTCAGTCTTACCAGATAATGCCAAATGGTTTTCCAGAGTGGTAGTACTAATAAAGTAGTTCAAGGTATTTTCTTACTGTATTTGTAATCTTGCTGTATGTGTAGATCTCTCTCCTTTCTGGGTGATTAGTGCTCAGCATGTCTTATCTCTTTTCTTGATTGGTCTCACCAGAATTGGTCAATTTTATTAGTTTTCTAAGAATCAGCTTTTGCCTTTGTTGATCCTCTCCCTTGTGTCTCTTCTTGTATGTCATTACTTTTGCTCTTATCTTTATGATTTCATCAATTGTGTTTATATTTATATAACAAGCACTTAAACTCAGGGTATGCCAGGTATTTGTGGGGAAGTGAAACTTCTTGGATTTCTCAGTGCTCCAAAAAGCCCTAGCCTCCTGAGACTTTTCATACCTATAGTTATTTGTGTAGTTAATTGCTTTGATTGAAAGGATAATAAAACTCCTCTTATCTCCTCAAGTGAGCTAAATGTTATATCTTGGATTAGGTCCCTAGGTTAAGCTCTCAAGTGCCAGAAAGATTGGGGCACCACCTCTCTGTGTGTGAAACTCCTGATCTTTGAGACACCTGGGGTTTATTTGGCCCTTAGAAAGATGTATTTACATTCTGAAAGGTTCGAGTGAGAACCCAGGCTCCTTTCTAACCTATCTCAAAGCAGCAAAAGATTTTTTTTCCTTTCAGGATAGGAGGAGATGACTGTCTCTCCTATACATAAGTGGAAAAAAACCCATTCTACTCTGTTACTCACCTGTAGAGTTTTCAGCTACTTATGTAGGACATATGACCTGGCCTTCATCATGAGTAAGGCATAGGGCAAAGTAGGCCGATTTACTTATTTATTACGAGATAATCACAAGAAATCTCTGATTCAGAGCACCTTGTATAAGCATTCAAGATAAAAGTAATAAAGATGAATATTAAAAACTCAACAGCACTATTCTAAGAGCTTTACAGATATCAGCTCATTTAATCTTCATAACAGTCTCTAAAGTATATACTATCATTAAACCCACTTTCCAGATCAGAAACTACAGCAAGGAAAGGTTAAATAATTTGTCCTTGATTGGCTAGTTAGTACGAGGAGGCAGGATTCAAATTTAGGCAGTCTTGCTTCATACAACCATGATAAATAGCTGGTAGTGAATTTCTCTTTATACTATTTGTGGTTTAGTTGACTTCCTGAATCTATGGATTGGTGTCTTTCATGAACTTTGAAAAAATTTCAGGCATTATCTCATCAAATATTTCTTCTACACCTTTATCTCTACTATCTAGAACTCTGGATATGTGGATGTCAGCTTTCTCACAGTGTCCTCTGTGTGTTTCAACCATTGTATTTTCTACCTTTAATCTCTCAGTGAATTCTGGGATATTTATTCACATCTTCCTACCACACTGGTTCTGTGTTCTCTTCAGTCTAATCTGCCCTTTCATCCATATATTGAGTTTTAATTTCATCTACTATATGCTAGTCACAATTTTTTTTTTGGTGAATTGGCTTTTGATACTGATACATTTTTGTTCTCATTTATGTTTGTATTTCCTCTTTTTATACACTTGATATATGATATATATGTTTTGTATGTGTTATATAGGTCTTTAAATGTTATATATAATTACTGTATAATATATATTAAAGTTATATTTATATTTTGTATATATTACATATGCAATATATAACATATACAAACATATATAATATATATGTCATATATAATATATTTTATACAAATATTTAAAACATATAATTATGATATATACTGTATTAAAATTGTATTATATATTGTATGTACATTTTGTATATATGTTTCATATATATTATATATACATTTTATATTTGAGTTGATGATTCTATTTTATGAAATTTTTGTGTTTTCTTCCTGGTGAGTCTCACTCATATTTATTTCAAAGTTTTGTGATTTAAAAAAAAATTGTGAGCTAATAATGTTCATTGGAATCATACATGTGAGAATTTTTTTTTTTTAAAGATTTTATTTATTTATTCATGAGAGAGAGAGAGAGAAGCAGAGGGAGAAGCAGGCTTCCCCACTGAGCAGGGAGCCCGATGCGGGACTCGATCCCAGGAGCCTGGGATCATGACCTGAGCCGAAGGCAGACGCTTAACCATCTGAGCCACCCAGGCGCCCACATGTGAGAATTTTTAAGGCTGTGCTTAGGATGCATTCTTTCAGATGATTTGCATATCATCATATGTCTTAGGTAAGGTTCTTCAAAAGCAGAGCCAAGTCAGGAATTCTTGTTTATGTGATTTATTGAAAGTGCTCTCAGGAGGAGAGCAAGGGCAGCCAGATAGAGCAGGAAAAAAAAACTAAACACAAATAGAGTCTCAGCTGGAGGACAGCCTGGTCGGATCCTATGGAGGGGCTCTGAAACATGAATTGCTCCATAGAGTTAGCCTCTCCTTGAGATTAGATAGACAGCATCTTCTGCTCTTGTGTTCACTAGTCATTGGCTGTTGATCTATTCCCTCTGGCAGGAAATAGCCTCCCTGGGGAAGTGGGTCTTCTTTTGCAGAGGGTAAACCTCTAAGGAAAGGAAGAGCTATGAACTGTGATCTGCTAACATTCCACAGCAAATGGAGGAAAGGTGCATAGCTGATGAAAAAAGAATCTTGGTAATGTATCAGCATCTATATTCCACTACTCCATTTCTCATAGCCCTCAGATCCGTTTGCTGCTTAGATAAGTTCACTTCATCCAGGCAGAGCTTATCAAATTGGTCACAATTGGTTGCAATTTACAAGAAAATGTACTTGAGGAGGGATGGTTCCCTCCTGGCCCCGACTTGATAATGTAGTTGGTACCAAGGCCATTAATGATACTCCTATCTG